TGTGCACTGTTTCAGATGATGAACAGCCTCTGGTGTTTGTTCCTGGTGAGTCTTAATGACATTGTATGGATACTTTCTGAACACAGTATGAAATACTAAGTATCTATTAAACAAATGGCTCTTCATTTGTATCCCCCCACAATCCCAGGATTGGAAGGAGAAAGGAAGACTCAGACCCCTTTCAGTTTTGGATCAGGCAGCACCAGTACATCCAGTATGAGAGGTACCAAGATGCGAGCCCGGCGTAGCTCTGACTGCAGGAATGGCAACACACTAAAGAAAGGGGGCAGGAATCAAGGCCACTTACAAAATGAGCCCTCTGGTGTTTATACCAAGGAAAAAGTGCCAGACCATCACAGTGCGACTGCAGCTACAGAGCACGCCCTGTTTCCATCCTCTGGTATTTTTCTCACCTCAACACAGGTAAATTAGGTTATGTTTCTGTTCCCTCCATGTATGTAAGATAGTTGTATATGGAAGAGGGCTTATGGATAATCCAACTATCGATCAATGCTGCTGACAGGATTACATTATTAGTTTCTGTAAATATATTTTATGTTTTATCTTAATTTGCACAGGTATCTTCTGAGACCAGCAGAAGTAAAAGCCAGGTCTGTTTGAAGGATCTCTGTCCTGAAGATAAGCGCCGGATTGCAAATCTCATTGAAGAACTAGCCAGGTATTACGCAGGATATGAAAACTGTAAATGTGGGTCGTTAAAATGTTCATATGAATGTATGATTTGGGGTATTGTTGTGAAGTTAAACTAAAACAAAAATAAGCAGGGGGCCATTTTGTTGTAAACTGAAACTAAATAAAAACAATATTTTCAAAAAATGCTAAACTAAACTGCAACAAATACAAAAACCTTAAACCTTGGTTTTGTAGTTTATCCCTAGTACATAATTTCGTTCAAAAAAAATGAATGGATTTCTTTCCATTTGGAACCACAGAACTGAAGAAATTGATTATTCCAGGTGATGGCGCTATGCAGTAATTATGTTCACAATATAATCCCTAATGTTTTTTGCAGACAGTTTAGTCTTGCTGAGTTATTAAATATGAAGAACATCATTTGAATCTTGTAGCACATCAATTGCCATTTAACCAAGGTTTTCAGATAAGGTCTTAAGGTGACCAACTGGGATCAGATTTAAATAGCAAGTGGCAAATGTTATTCTGAGTATGGTATTATCAAAGCGGAAGATGATTCCTAAAGGAAAATATTTAAACTTTATAGCCTTGGACTAAATTATGATGATTTTTTTTTTTTTTACTGGTTTTGCTGTTGCAATATGATTTGGGTGATATAATATTCAATCTCAACATATCTCAAAAATGATAACTCGATATTTTGAAGGATATTACCCAATTGTTTTCCTCAAATTTGTTTAGTACAAATTTTAGGCCAATAAATCACTTCATCACAAAATCATCATCAAAATGTATTGACATTATTTTTAATAAATATCTTGTGGTTTTAAAATGATACTATTCAAAACTTTTGTAAGAAGTGATACCTGTTTGAATTGTTTAATTTTGAAATCCTTTTTCATCCTTTGTCACATTTGGACCTAATGTTGTAGAGCACCTGTGCTCTAACTCAGTTGTTTCCTGTTCTCCAGAGTGAGCGAGGAGAAGGAAGAGTCAGTGCAGCGCCTGAAACACGAACAGGAAAACTTTGAGGGCAAAATCCAGAAGCTGGAGCAACAGAACGTGATCATAGTAGAGGAGAGGGAGAGTATCCTTTCAAAAACACTGAAGAAAGTAAACAACAGTAAGATAGATTCTCTCGCCCACCCTTTGGTGCAGTGGTGGGTGAGGTGATTTGTTGTGTTTGTCATAATAGTTTTTGTAATCAACCCGTAGGACTACCGTCGCAAATACCCACCTGAATGTGCTTGACCCACAGTGGTTGAGATTCTCCGTGTTTTGGTAGTAACTTTGAGTAATCATAAAATAATATGGCTACCTTTAATGGTGCTTCATGGTTTGTTGAAGTGTGTGTAGTTTAGTGTTGTGTCACTTCCACTGCAGCTTCTGCGAAATGTGTTGCTCTATAATGAGCAAACCAGAGGTCCCTTAACGTTTCCAGGGCACAATAGTTTCATACATTTTGTAACATTAACCAATACATTTTTTAGAAAGTATGGTATCTCATTTCCATTCTTCCACTGCCTGTTTTAACCTAAAATATACAACGAACCAGTAAAATCCTACGCTGTAGTCTTGAAAACTTGTTAACAGTTGTTCTTGGTTCACAGTTGCATAAAGGTCCTGAATGAAGTGCTTGATGACATTGCTTGATGTGCTTTCCATCAGTTAGTCTGCAGGGGGCAGTGTTGTCTTAGGTACGGCTAAGTACAGTTTCTGGCCAAGACCCCCTTCAATTTGATACAAAAGACAGAGAAAGAGCAGATTCTTTTGAATGATTTGATGCCTGCTGCACATGTATTTTGCAAGTGTAGCTTATGCGCTGTTGTGTACAGAATCAATTTCAAGCTTGGAGCCATGGCGCCAACCATCTAAATCATCTTATCATTCAAAGATGAATGTTGATATTTACTGAGAAGACTACAGTGTGTGCTTTCGCCACCATGTGTCTTTGTTACACTCCCTGAATGTTGAACATTAACAGAGGAATATCACTCAGAATCCCTTCCTCCTTACAAAATGAGATCAGGTGGGTCGCCTGCTGATTCTTGATTGTCTAGCATGGGGTAAGTGCTAGAGTTACCGCCATAGTGTGCTGTTTATTGCACACCACATCCCATTTACTGTCTCAAAACAATTCCGCCCAGGTCAAAGCCAGAGCATGGCCAGCAGACGATTTAGGTTAAAACCGCTACACAATTTCAGGGAGTAATTGACCCCGCTGGTAAATTGCACGATTGGCAACGGCGGCGGGGAAAATTAGAAAAAGCACAACTCAATTAAAGGCACTTTGGCTCGGAGACTTGGCATTTACACCAAACTTCTAAACTTCATTAAAAAGGTATTTGAGGGGAAAAAAAGCGTTCAGATCCATGCACCTCAGGGGGGGGATAACGTAGTCTTTCAAAGTGCATGCAGGAGTCAGGAAGGCTCTTCTCAGGCAGAAGGTTCCGGCACTTCTCCGAAAGGTTAAGGAGACACCAAAGGCAAACACACTGAATGAGAGTCTTGTCAAGTCTAATTCCATTACGCCTCAGCTTATCTTATCTATCCACGATTCAGGGTTGTCGGGGGGGTATAAAGGATGCAGGGCTATACCTTAGCCCCAAGCCACCTCGGATGAGGTACCCTTGATATTAAGGGTGTTCAGCTGACATTTGAAAGTGACTGGCACACAGCACTGAATTTGCGTTTCAGATAGGAGGATAGGACTTCAAGGCATGTTGGCATGGTCTAAAGTCGAGGTGGCATTACAAACACGGCGCACCGCTCTACTCGCTGTATCCCGAATAAAGCACAGCAGGTGCTAGCGCTAATGCCATTTATTGAGTTCAAACAATTGGAGGGAATCCTGAGGCCATGGAGAGAGGGGGATAACTGCCCTGTTTGAATATGTCATTGAAAATGCTACATGTTGTGATAGAGGACTGCCAGAGATACAATTTAAACCTGACATTAACTATGTGGAAATCTGGTTGTATCCAACGTGCATCAGAGGTTTTTTAGCACTTAGTTTTCTCTTGGCAGATTTAAGATCCTAATATTCTTTAATGACAGCTCTGTAGGCACTGTCATGATCTGCCCTTAGTGTTGTTTATCTTGCTTTCTTCTTTAGAAAAGAGTGAGGTGGGTTATATTATGTGATATGCAAGGTGCACTCTATTTATTAGATGTGTTAAAAACTAATTAATGTTTTCTCCCCTTATTTTGACAGTCTAGAGAAAGAACAGTTGGAGAGAGAGGTTTGACATGCACGGAGATGCCAAGGCTGAATTCCAAACTCAATTCTGGTCTGTTGCTTCCCTAGAGCTTTACCTTTTGACTACTATCAACAAGAAATATAGTAAATACAGTGATTCTGACTGGTTGAATGAAGAACCTTTTTGTGAGCCCTTCATTCTGCTTAGCTTAATTGCAGGGGAGTCTGTAAACAAGAACACCCTCTCATTTAAGGCTTAACCTAAGCCTTGTAAACAAATGTTATTCTTTCAACTTCATTTTGTTTTACATTTAAGCAATGGTGGACAACATTTGAAATGAATAATGCATTGAAAAGAGTCAGATTGGCTTAAGTTTTCAGATTGGCTCAAGTTTTCTCTGCACACTTTTATATATGTTTAGCTTTGCAAACCTAGTCTGTGCCTTCAAAGTTGGTTCTTCACATTACCGTAATTTTCGGACTATAAGCCGCGCCTTTTTCCCCATTTTTCGACGCTGCGGTTTATATAACGGTGCGGCTAATCTATGGATTTTTACNTGGCATATCAAAATGCTGATTAGACAGCATGATTAGTGCACAGGTGTGCCTTAGGCTGGCCACAATAAAAGGCCACTCTGAAACGTGCAGTTTTGTTTTTAAAACAAAACTGCACGTTTCAGAGTGGCCTTTTATTGTGGCCAGCCTAAGGCACACCTGTGCACTAATCATGCTGTCTAATCAGCATTTTGATATGCCACACCTGTGAGGTGGGATGGATTATCTCGGCAAAGGAGAAGTGCTCACTATCACAGATTTGTTCAGATTTGTGAACAATATTTGAGAGAAATGGTTATTTTGTGTATATAGAAAATGTTTTAGATCTTTGAGTTCATCTCATGAAAAATGGGAGCAAAAACAAAAGTGTTGCATTTATATTTTTGTTCAGTGTGTATGTACTATCTATCATCATGAGTTATATATTTTATATAAACAATATGTTAATCATCCATGAACAAGGGGAAACAGTTGAATTGTAAATCTCAAAATACAAGTTGTTAAAGAGTTACAAATACTCCCAAAATGATGCGTACAGACAACCAACTAAATTGTTAACTAATATGTTTTCCACTTGCATTGTTTGAAACCACTAGCAGTAGTACCCTCTATGTATGAACAATCAACTCAGAACAGAATAACTATTAACAGAGATGTTTTGCCCTCAAATGAACCCAAAGTGACATAAAGAAATGTCCCCAGAAGCCAAAATATCATGTATGTACCTGAACACGTCCATCCCCCAGCCTGCTACGGCAGTGAAGAGCCTGGGGGCGATGTCTCTGGTGGGGTTGATAGCATATCCGCTGTTTCTTCCCATAGAGATGCCGATGAGCAGCACCAGCAGACCAACTGCGATGGGCTCCGTGCCCGCTGCTGCCGGTTTGTTCCTCTGGTCGGACAACGCCATCAAGCAAAGCAGAAGCAAGGCTGTGCCCAACACCTGGCATAAACAAAAAAAGAAGCTTAGCATACATTGCTGTGTATAGAACAATACAACAAGAACACATTTTGAGCGCAGAATGATTGTAATAAAGCTGTAATCCTCTAATTCAATTTCATGGCTACCTGATCAATGAATCCCCCCATCAAGGAGAGGTATGGTGCGGGGTAGGTGGCAAAGATACCAGCTGTGGCCAGTTCCCCGGTTACAGTCAGGTTTCCTCCACAATATTCATGTATGGCATCTGCATATGGAAACAATATAAATAAGACAGATACCCTTAGATGTTGTACTAAAACAATTGAATAGCTATGATATATGGACAAGGAGAAGTGAATAAACAAACATGCAGTGTGTACTAACCATAATATACACCATATATGGTCCCTGCTGCCAGAAATGACCCCAATAGTTGTGCAAAAATATACAGAGGCAGCATCTTCCATCCGAGCCGGCCGAACATACACATTGTGAATGACACTGCTGCATTCATGTGAGCCCCTGATGGAGTACAAAAACATGTGTCAGATGATGAGTTGTGACATTTTTTAATAGTTCTTAATATATATATAACTGTCAAAGGTCACTCCTCATACCTGAGACTTTCCCTCCAACATGAACCCCCATAGCAACACCCAGTCCAAAGCCCAGGTTGATACTGAGGTACTCTCCGAACGCTCCCTGCCCCGTCACTACCTGGGCCACAGACCCCAGACCAAACACCTGCACACAGAGAGAAGGGGTCAAGCACAGGCAAAGACACAGAAGACACAGAAAGAGCAGCAGGGTGAGGGGGAAGCTTCCAGAAAGCATAGCAGCAAACTGGATTTGAAATGTAACAAAACACGATGGATACTTAATCAATAAGTGTCAATAAGTGCCAATAAGTCAGCATTTCGGCCAGGCGTCCGGAGTGTAAGAAAACAATGAGTGTTTTGTAACTAAACTGAATTATTTCATTTACTTTTTAAACCGAAAGCTACTGTGGTGCATGTGAAATTAAAGCTGACTCTGAAAAACATTCAGGGGAAACAGGAAACATGTGATTCCTTCTCCGAAAGTCATATGTACTTAGGGGTGAGAGGGACTTCAGTTTTTCCAAGTAAAGCCTGGCTGTGTTCTAAGTATAGGCTTGATTTGCTACTAAACGTAATGTGACTTTTGCACCCACCCACTGCCTGACCATTCCTGTGGTAACATTTCCAGGTTCACCCACATTAACCCACCAATCCCCAACCCAGGACCCCCCCATGTGACTGGAATGTGCCTTTGTGTATGTGTGAGAGGGGGGTGCGTGTTATCAGGGACAAGAGCATGACATTAATTATTAATGGCACATGGCTGTTACAGATAAACATACAAAACAGAAAGAAGAGCTCATATAAGTGGCAGCAGAATGATGGAAATAAAAGCGTTAAAGGTTAAAATCACACATTATTACAACAAGCTTTTCTTACCATCATGACATATGTGCAGAGGGTTTCAGCAAGTCCAACACGAACACATTCATTCCTTAGCCAAACTTTGGGTTGAGTTGCGTTGAATCTTTTCTGCTGAGAGACCCCCAGTTCTAATGCCTGCTCCAAATCCTTCATTATTTCTTCTTCTTCTTTCCTTCTTTTCTTGTTTTTGGTTTATAAGAGTTTTCTTATTTGGCAAGAATAAAGTTCAGGCTCCCTTGAAGAATATATGTGGTTCCTCCTCCAGTGTCACACCGTACTCCAAAAACAAAACTCACTCTTTCTGTTGCACTCCTCCCTCTCTAGCCTCTTCCTTTTTACTCTGTCTTTCTTTCTTGTGTCTGTCTCCCTCTATCTGTCACACATACCCATTAGGATCTGTACCCTTTTTATAGCCTTAACCCAACCCCCTCCTCTTGGATAGGTTTAAACACACACTGTATGACCCATCTCCCCAATAGCTTTGCATTTTTCCAGACTCACTCCAATCAATAGGCCAGGTGTCATGGAAAAATTCCTGTGTTGAATAAGAAGAAAACTTTCCTACCTTGTATAAATGTAAGAAATAGAAGCTTTAAAAAATATTAAAATCTAAAGTTAAATATATAAGGGTCTTCCCACATATGGCTATTTTAATTGTAATGTTTTATCAGATAGTGTTTATCTGCAATATGTGTAGGTTTTACAATAGCAAAGATATGCTTACATGTTACAGGATGTTCTCCTGGAAATGTTAATCAGTCTGTTGATTGTATTATGTTAATATGCATAAATGATGCGCATTGAAGAACTAATCAGATCCTGTTATTAAGTACAAGTAGAAGTACCACAGTGTAGAAATACTAGTTACAAGTAAAAGTCCTGCCTTTAAAATGTTACTCAATTAAAAGTACCAAAGTATAAGCATCAATATGTTCTTAAAGTACCAAAAGTAAAAGTATTCATTATTCAGATTGGTCTATTTCAGAAATATATAATGTATTTTGATTATAATTATTGATGCATTAATGTTTTTATCAAAGCTGGTAAAGGTGCAGCTAGTTGTATTTTTCTTTGTTTGCTGCAGGGTAACTTATGAATTTTACTCAAGGTCTAACTAAAGTCTTATTGAAGTGTTGTTTGTATTTCACATTCAAATCTGCAAAGTAAATGAATATATTAAATAAATCAAGTGGATTAAAAGTACACTATTTACCTCTGAATTGCAGTGTGGTAGAAGAACAAAGTAGCAAAATATTGAAATACTCAAGTAAAGTACAAGTCTCTCAAAATTGTGCGTAATTACACATGTACTTACTTTACGCCACTGTGTGCATATTATTTAAAACGTGTTTGTATCCTGTAATTTTTCCGGTATGTCATTTTACCATGTTACGGTGATTTTGTATATTTCTACATCGAAAGACAGAGAATTGGAGGTAAACAATCAATTCAACGTAAAGCAAGCCTATTGATTAATACGAGGACTTCATTGACTACAGTCTCTTATCTGCAAGTGGAAATGTACCAAAATCTTCCTCCAACTCCACGGGTAGTTTTCCCGTGTTAGCATTGGATTTTCCACACTGCTGATTTTGGAAAGTGCTTGTGATTATTAGATGATACATTGAGACTATGTAATGGTGCAACTAAAACATAAGAAGTCTCCGGGTAACAAACAAAAAAATGCTGACTACTGTTCATTCACTTTAAGTGTCAAGTGTCCCCTGGAAAGAATAGAATAGAATTGGGGGGATGAAACCCTCTTTAATGGTCACACAGGCAGAGCACACAGCATTCTGCTTTTAATCCAACCCAGTACCAGAAGTCTAGTACTAGGAGTCCCATGTGGTGATTTATGACTCTAATCTGTGCAACTTGGACCATTTATTTTGCTAGAAATGTGTTGCAGATGTGCCAGATTACATTATAAATTGTATCAATGAAACTGTGTTTGTCTGTTTTTTTGTCTGAATAACACCCCTTGACCTCTGCCAAAAATGAGCATTAGTAGGGCAACCTTGCCATGCCGTAATCACTTCTGTAAATCTTCTGTCTGATACCAATGAGTAGTCATCAGTATCTGACTATCCTGCAAAACGATATGTAAACGGGTAAAACAAACGACGCCAGACACTTTGACCATGGGCGTGGTAAGACGTTCATCAGACTTCAACCCTTAATCCCACAGAGGTCGGTGCAGCAATGCTTTTCCTTTCTGTAAATTCTAGTCTAGTTTAAATTATCTTTTATTCAATTTTTTTTCCAAAGTTGCATCTCTCAGATATATTCCCATTATGCCAACCATAAAAAAAAATATTTAGATAAACTTGTGACCAAACAAAACATTTCGAAAAACATGTGTTTTATTTTGCTTGCAATGGTTGTCAATTACCTAAACACAAGTGGAAAAAATCTCAGAAATCTAAATGTGATGCAACTGTTTTTCTACAGGCCAGCATGACATCACCAGTTACATCTCACTGTACGTACAGGCCAAATAAAGCAGTATTCTATGAAAATAACTATATTGTTTTAGAATACTGATTTATTTTCTATTATTATTAATACATATGTAATAGTTTTTTTGACTGTGTTAATAACGTAGCAATACAATTATCACAAATTAAAATGCCTAATGACTCCATTAGTCATCAGATAAAGCAGTCAGCTAAAGGAAATGACAGGGTACTAACAACCTTATTTGACTCAAAGCAGTGGCGATTCTAGATCAATTTGACTGGGGGGGCCAGGCTGGGGCCAGTTATTTTCTGAGCGGGACCCAATAAATGCAGGACGAAAAAGACAAAGACAGTATGAAGTGATTGCGCATAAGAAAACAAAGCAATACAGTTATTGGTATTTGTTTCATTACACATATTTATTTCAGATACTTATAGTTTTTACTCTCTGATGCAGGGGTCTCCAACCTTTTTCAGGATGAGAGCTACTTTCAAAATATAAAACAAGTCGTGAGCTACTTTTACTCCTCTTTTGTTGTTTTTTGCAGTGTATATGTGACCTGTTCTATCGAAATCAGTCGCATTGACACATTTTGAGTTGAATACACTGTTGGAAAGAGGACATTTCTAGCTTTCTAATGATATCAGGATTGTTGTTGTACACCAAATATGAAACAAAATATGTCACATTATATAATGACTGTCACAGAGTCATCATTTTGAGGAAAAGGCCTTTAAAGTTTCCTCTTCTCCTCTTCTCTGGAATCCATCGATCTGATTGATTATTAGCGGAGCAAATGATCAAAATACTACGGAGGGAAGATATTTTCGTTTGGATTACTGGTCTGGGGGAAGCTCGCGAGTGTGTGTGTGTGTGTGTGTTAGGGCTGCACGATATTGAATGACATTGCGATATTTTTTTCCCCTGCAATATGTATTGCGTTTTTTTTAACTATATTTAACCGGATGAAGGATTTTAGTCACAGATGTCTGGATCTTAACTGGTAGACTCATCATACCTTAAGTCATGATAATGCATGTTGCTTACCCTCAAATAAGGGGGTTCATCTGTGAATGAAGAAGAGAAGAACCTTTTTGTATCCAAAATAGTTCCAGGTGGCAGATGTTGCTTTTCTTTTTGGAAGTAAATCTTCATTCTCGCCGGTATTGTCCTCCTGTGCCTCGATAATTTTTTACCGGTGTTTTGATGGTCTGCAAACTAGCGGGGAGAGGCCTGCTGTGATCTGATCAAGAATGATTGTGATTGGTGGTTTGCTGTGCATGCAGAGCCTGCATGTCACTCACTCAAGTACCCCTGACATGAGAGCCGCGTAAGTTTTCCTTTGTAGCAAGCAGCAAAATAATTGTAACATGACGTGTTTGAGTTAATGTACCTACGTACAGATGTAGCGCTTCGTTTCGGACGCCTACCCGTTGCGGGTCCCTGCTGGAAAGGAAAAACCCCGCGCAGGCCTTGGATACGCCACCTTGATAATTACATTTAAATTATAATGAAACCAGGCTGCTGCATGGATCATGAAACACACCAGGGGGAGGAGCTGTGAGATTGAAAGCTGCCACACTGGAACTCATGTGAAATAAACAGCTGATAGATCGAGAGGTAATCAGATAGTGGCGGATATTTGTTTAAGATATGATCACGGATAGGATCATATTCTGTGCCAAATAAGAGACATTTAATCATTTACTAACATCACCAAATGTTTTTTAATTTAACAAAATAATGGTTGTTTAATTCACGTTGGCGTAAGTACAAAACCATTGGCTATGTTTTTAGATCAGGAAACTGCAGCCCGGCTCAAACAAACGATTTTTCAATCATCATCCTCACGATCATTTAATGTATCATATGTTCGCGCGAGTTGAAAAATGCATGCACTAGCCAATACATTTAATTTAATTTTACGAATTAAAGGTGGTTCTTAATCCACATCATTTAACTGTGCATAATTGTTTTACTGTTGTGCACATTACTTTTCGGCTAGGATGGGCACCGAATATTCGGCCCCCACCGAAAATTATCGGCCGAAATGGTTAAAAAGGCCGAAAAGCCAAAAGGGTTTTAGCACCCGAAAAAATATCACCGAATGTGTCAGAGAACAGGGTTACGTTGATCATCTCCGCATATTTTGTCCGGGTGTTTTGATTTCAAGTGGTGGAGTAATCCGCGAAGGTGGTGAAACGTCTTTGCAGTTAACACCCCCTCGAGAAAAATGCAGCTGAACACGTTTACAATCGCAATCCGCGCGGCCTCTCTCTCTGATATTTTTAAATATGCTCACAAGCGGCAAGACATGTTGGCTGTGAGCCCAGCGCGAGCATGGTCCGCGCAGCCGTGCTTGTCGCCGCGTTTTGATTACGTCCATCACAACAACACACGTTAGGTTACCAAAACTTTATAGGTGGCATTTGTTGTTGTTGAAGGCCTGGCTGTTAGTCTTTATTTTACACTATTTTGTTGTAGGCTACTGGCCTAGATGTTTAATGAAGTTTTAAAAGCACCTTGGCTTTGATTCGAGTGCACTTTTGTTGTGTAGTTATCCTACAGAGAAAAGAAAATGCACTTGACTTGGAATTAATGTAACTGTATGCATTCAAAAATGTGCTGAATACGTTTTTTATGGATCCCCATAATAGTGATTATTATTTAGAGTTAAGTTTTTGCATAATCATGTCTTTTTCCATAATCAGCAGGTAGCTTCTCGGACCATTTACAGTTTTCGGCCAAATGTTTCCTATTTTCCGGTTATCAGGTTTCGGCCAAGAATTTGCCGCCATTCGGTGGCACCCTACTTTTCGCTGGCGTGATGCACGGCCTGGTTCGAAGCTAAACTGCATTTCGTCGTCTCATTTCGTTTGTTTGCAAAATAACAATAAAGTTGAATCTAACTTGAGCAGGAACAAATGTATTTAAGTAACAATCTGACATTAAAGCGATTAAACACATTTGTGGCATTCTTTAAACACGAGTCAAACGACTCGGAGGTGGGGGCACATTACACGTGTGCACCCTGTTACACTTGAATTGCCCTGATGCTGTAATCATTCAAACAAAATCATATTTTCCGTTTCTTTTTTATGAAATAACATGGTGGTTTAATCCACATAATTTACTGTGATAATTGTTTAGCTGGTAGTGCACATTACTTTTTGCGGCTGCCGTGATGGCACCCCTGGTTAGAAGCTAAACTGTGCAGCATTTCCTTGTCTCATTTCGTTCGTGGCATAACAATAAAGTTGAATCTAATCTGAGGCAGGAAGCAAATCGTATTTAGCTTAGTAGCATATCTGACATTGAACGATTAAACCACATTTGTGGCTTCTTTAAACCGAGTCAACGACTCCGGAGGTGGGTCGGCACATTAAGGCACCACGGCCCCCACGAGGTACGTAATAACAGGTCGGTTTGGCGTTAATCGTTAGTGTCATATAGACCGTCTCTGCCACACTGGACGACCGAAATATGACAGTAATATAACTGCGGAAACGATAACGGGTCTCGCAAGGTGGATAGAACCCGGCATAGCGCAGCGCTCTGGGGGGGTCGGCAATGGCCTCCGGTGTAAGCCCCTATACGACATTTTCTGAAAATGATGAGGCAAATAGCGCCTGCCTAT